AAAACCTGACAGCATCGACGACCGGCGATATCACGGTAGCAGCGGTGCAGTCGAGTAGATCTGACGTGTTCTGCAGCACCCACACTGCCAGATCTGCGATATTTTCCTCCCCGACTCTTGAAGTAGTAGTAGCTCGAGCGGATCCGACGTCCTCTAGCGACCAGCAATATGTTTTCCCCTCTGGCGACCTCGAACCTCACGACCAGCACCCGAGCAGTAGCAGTTCGCGATGATTTCTTCGTTCTGTTACATTTTGGCATTGACCCACACCCATTCGAAGCCGATTTGCAATACCCACCTACTTCTGCATCAATTCGGCATTGACCCACTCCAAGTTCAAGTTATTTTAGTGTGAGTTAATAGGTAACGACTCACCTAAACTCGACTTCAATTAATTTAGGTGTTTCTAATTAGTTACTAACCTCGAGATTGTATTCCTTTTGTTTTAGGAACGCCTCGACAAGCTTATGAACATTAGGACATTGGTTGTAAGTAGTTCTTACTTGTAAGGGTGTTTATTGTTTGAATATGCATGAATTGTTGGCGTGTTCTGTGTGTTTTATTATCCAATAATATGCATGTTGATTATCTCTTTGTGACTGTTAGTGCTTATGAGTATTTTAAATAAAATCATGCTTGTTGTTAATTATTCTAACGTATTGACCTTGTTGTTGGATGCATTGTGAATGATATGTTGGAAATAGTAACTTTAAATGTATTTATGTCTTAATGATGGCAGATGTGTTATTTGTTTCGTTACTGAGAGTGAATATGTTCATGGCATGATATCATTACTATGGTTTGGTGTTTGAACTGAACTCTTGAGAAGTATATTGCTGGATATATTACTGAATTATAGATAGTTATGTCTGCTGTGTGTTTATACAAAGTTATTGTGAGATTTATTATAGAGTGAAAGCGTAATGACATATTGGTTAATGATTAGTATATTTGTCTGTGGTTATGATAACATGCTGAAATGTGTTTGTGAGCTGAATGATGCATGGGTCATGGCTTAGTAAGCATATAGTAGGACTCCGATGAGAGTTTGGTTCTGTTATGAAGAGAAGGGGTGAGTATCAGGGCCAGAGGGCTGATACGTCACTAGTTGAGAATCGAGGCTTCTGATAAATGGTCGGGGGTCGATACGTCAACGTTGGACAAAGATGAGTGTCGAGGCTTGGGGTAAATGGTTAAGGGTCAATGCGATGAGTCTTAGAGGTAAGGCAAGTATTGGGGCTTTGAGAAGAAAGGACAAGGACCGGTGTCCTTGAATAGATGGCCTTGAATAGATGGTCAACGGTCGGTGCAGTAGTTCAGAGCCTTGAGTAAATGGTCAAGGGTCGAACACCAAGTGTTGTGGGCATGCTTGTCCAGGGTGTGTTACCCATGGCCACATGTCTAAACCTTCCTCACCATTCACTTTTCTTTCATGTCTTTAAAGCTTTCTAGTGTAGTTTACTTGTATCAGGTTATTGGGGTTGTAGGTTGAATTTGGCCGAGCGGCTTTGGAACTAGGTGTGTATTGCTAAGATATGTAAGCACGCCAAATTTCAAGCCAATCAGAGTTCATACGAGCCCTGTAGGCCACCGAGTGACTCCTCGCCACTTTGGACGTCTACATCCGCCACACCAAAAATGCCTTATAATGTACCTTAGGGGGGACCAAGTAGTCATTAAACCTCCCCCCGACCAAATGTTGTATACTTTCTTGCAATCAAAGCTTTCTTGCATCCAATGTTTACAATGCTATTTTAAAGATGTTTTCAACTGTTTTTCTCTCTCACGTTTTCTAAAACCAATTTTCTCGTAAAACGTGAGTAGAGGCTAGACCAACGACCGAGATTATCCGCAACTTACAGTTTTTCTCGACTGACTTTCTCGTTTGAGCTAGAGCAAGTGTCGCACAATTGCTCGAACTGCTTTAAAACGGTGCGATTGTGACAAGTGGTATCAGAGCTTAGTTAGCTCCTCGATCCGAGAAAGTCTGGAACCATGTCGGCGACAAAATAACTGAGCAAGTCGCACGTCGACCGACTGGTAGAGATAGAAGAACAACTTCTCTATCTAAGAGAAGTCTCAGATACCCTCCGTCTGTTGGAGGTGCGAGTTGATGAATTCTCCGATAAGTTTGGAGAAATAGACGTAGTGAATGCCCGAGTAGACGGGTTGCCGATACAAGATATAGCCACAAGGGTTGAGGCCCTAGAAAGCAAAGCTACGCGTCCTGGTAGCTTTAAACATGGAGACAGTTCCACGAACCCCAACACACAGATAGAAGTACGTATGGGTGAGTTAAACAATTCGCAATCGGCAATGATGCAATTGTTTAACGAAATGACGGAGGACTTCAAAGTAACCATCGACACCCTCCAAGCTGAGATGACTGAAATAAGCACTAAAGTGAACCTGACCATGCGAGCCATGGAAAATCAAGCTCCCAATCAAGCGAACATGGGGTTCAACAAGTTGAAAGTCCCAGAGCGCAAACCATTTAATGGCAATAGAGACACGAAAGATCTCGAGAACTTCATGTTCGATGTAGAACAATACTTCAAGGCTACTGGGACAACGTTAGAAGAGATGAAAGTGACTTTGGCCACCATGCATCTTACTGATGATGCAAAGCTGTGGTGGAGATCTAAAGTCAACGACATTCAGAATGGACGATGCACGATCAACAACTGGGATGATCTTAAGAAGGAATTGAGGGGTCAGTTCTTCCCCGACAATGTCGAGTTCATGGCTAGAAGGAAGCTACGTGAACTCCGACACATTGGGACAATCCGGGACTATGTGAAACAATTCTCTGCCGTGATGTCGGATATTCGCGACATGTCAGAGAAAGACAAGGTGTTTGTCTTTATCGAATGATTGAAACCGTGGGCCAGAACAAAGCTGTATGAACAGAGAGTGCAAGACCTTGCCACCGTCATGGCTGCTGCCGAACGATTGCTAGACTATAACAGTGAACCGTCCCAACCGAAAAAGAACACTCCAAACCCCACTGGGGGAAACAAGACGTTCAAACCCTTTACCCCAAAGAGTGGGGGAGCTGACAAGAGACCCTAAGGCCCAACTTTCGGTCCTTCTCGAGTACCCTATCCACAAAGTCAAAACGCTCAAAGGCCGATATCATGCTTCTTGTGCAAGGGCCCTCACCAGGTAACTAAATGCCCGTACTGAGCTGCCCTTACTGCCCTTCAAGCGTCCGTTCAGTTGTGTAATGAACCTGAAGTTAAGATGGAGTGCGAGAAGGAAGAAGACGAAGAAACACCCATAATGGGGGCGTTAAAATTCCTATCTGCCATTCAAAAGAGGGTCAACGGACCCAAATGAACGTCTGAAAAGGGGCTTATGTTCGTAGATGCTACGATCAACTTTAAACCTGTCAAGAGTACCATGGTGGATTCAGGTGCAACCCACAACTTCATATCGGAGCAGGAAGCCTGCCGGCTGGAATTGACCATTGAGAAGGATACAGGCAAGATGAAGGTCGTCAATTCCGAAGCTCTACCCATTGTAGGAGTTTCTAAAAGAGTGTCGTTGAAATTAGGAACG